ACCTAACATTAACCTAAGTTGGGGCAGTTAGGAGACTGGCTTTGTTCTCATCCATGCTTAGACCTCCTTTTATTTCCTGTTCCAGTATCATCAAACTGTAATTTGGGCATGTGTCTTCACACTGGCCCATGCTGGTCTGACTGCTTCCTAGTGTGAATGCTCTTATGCTAACAGAAGTTATAGTTTTGCTATAGCTAATCAAAGTTCAGGCTTTAGAGTATAGACTTTTTGCCGTGACTGACTCCAAAAGACTCTCTTTCTATTAATTTATCTGTTTCCATTGAGACCTTTAATTGTTGTTGAAGGCATGGTGCACTGTGGGGACTGCAGGATGTGGGACTGTCCTCTGCAGTTTTCTTCAAATGCTTTTGACTGTTTGCCTTTCATCTCCATTGAATGCTCTGCTGTTGAGGAGAGAGAGTGATACAGATCTCAGGGCTTCAGGTAGTGGGAAAATCAGAATGTTGCCTGGAAGCCAATACATAGCAGAGAGGACGCTGTGAGATGGTACCTGCTGGTCCTGGCCCAGGTCATCCATTTCTTCCAGGTCCTTTTCCCTCATGACTCTCCTTGTTAACCTTGTGTAACAGAGAGACTGAGACTTCTTTTAAAGAGGGGTGTGTGTGTGCATGTGTGTGTGTGTTTGTGTGTGTGTGAGTGAGACAGAGAGAGACAGAAAGAGTGATTTAACTGGATCCCAGTTAGACAAACATGACTTAAACTATAAATATTGTCAGTTTATGTATTATGTTACTAGGGCCACCTGAAATGTGAACACAAATAAAAACACCATGGCAGGACTCAATAGTACAGTGCCATTCAGATGATCTAAAATTGGCTTATAGCACTCTTTTTACATGTTCGCAAACCTGAGAATATGGAATACAAGAACTCCCATAGACTTCTTGGACCACGGAAACATGTCTTTGAAGCACTCCGAACACCAACTTGAGCTTGGTTCTAACATCCATCCACTGAGATCTTTCAGAGCAAGCATCCTCACTGCAAAGGAACTTGCTGCCAGTAGAGCTGAAGTGTCCCTACTTGGCTGAGGGCTGCTCTGATGAACTGCTTCCTACCCTCCCTTTTGTGATTCTTTCAATTAATAACTCCTAAACATGTGATCTTGCAAAGTTAAAGGGAGTATTTTTATTTAGTTATTAGTCTTTTTCTTTGAGAATCTGATGGAGTACTCCAAATATGGGAACTAAAAAAAGAAACCTAATTGGTAAATTAACTGTCAGGATAATATAATGGTCAAAAGGAGAAGATAGCATGTATTTTTTGTAGATAGGACTCCAAAATAAACTGGGATTCAAACCTTATTTTCTGAAGATTTAATATTGGTTCTTTTAGTATTATTGTATGTGTAAAGAAATTAAGTAGAATAGGAGGTTTAATTATGCAGAAGAAATAAACTAGGGATCATCTAATTTTTAAATTTTTAAATGTTTAGTGTTCCTTGCTTTGTTGTTAAAATTGAGAAATAAATATTATTTTATTAAATTAACTTATTAATTTAAATTAACCTTATTAATTTAAATTAACTTTAAATTAACCGTATTAACTTAAATTAACTTTAAATTAACTGAAATTAACATTCACCTTCTAACATGAGACTGAGCATACGGTCAACTCTTGGTACAGTATATGAGTCAATAGGTAACAGAAAACGTGTGGTGGTAACCCACAGATGATAGAATGGTAATCCAAGAAGCTCACTTTTCGGTTTCAGCTGTCTTGTAAAAATAAAAACTTCCAGTAGAGCATCTTTTTAAAAGGTAGAAAAGCTGATAGAATCTTTCTACCCTCTGTCAGGATGTAGTTTTAAGCAAAACCCAGAAAGAGAGAGAGAGAGTGAGAGAAGCCTGGATAATCAGGAGTCAGATATATTTGTTTTTCTGGGAAAGATTTCCCATTAGACAATTTTAGAGAAAGAATCTTGAGTTTACCTCCAGGTATAAATTTTTGACTATACTTTCTGGCTAGGTCTTGATTATTCATAGGAATTTGATTTAATTAACAGATACCTAAACAGTACTTGCTATGTGCAAGGCAGTATTCCATGTTCATTTAATCTTCTTAACAGCCCTAAGGGGTAGATACTAATATGATCCTCATTTCATGAATGAAGAAACTGAGGCACATAGGGGTTATATAATTTCCCCGAAGTCACATGAACATTAAGTGTGCAGTGAGGATTTGAACCTGAGTGGTCTGACCGGTCTGATTTTAGACACTGTGCTATGCTCCCCATCATCATGATTGCTATGTGCTGTTAATTTTGTGATTAACTAATTTTGAGAAATCTCAGTTTCAAACTATTTACTTTCAGGTCACTTTAATGGCTTTGGTCCTGTCCTGGTTTACTCAGAACTATTCAATGGATAGGTAATTGATAATCTTAAAACTCTTTGTTGTTGCCTGCCTGTTTTCTAGTAGAATTTCTTTTGTGTTCTAAAAGTCCACACCACTTACTATGTCTGCCTCCCTATGCTTCTTAAAATTCTTTTAAGATTCTTCTCCCTGGGATAATGAATTATGATGTCTAAACACTTTACAGGAAACCAGACCATTATAATTTGATCATAGTTGAAGTATCAAGACATGTGTTATGGAATAGATAAAAAATACCTTCTTCATTGCCTCCTTGGTGCCATTCTTTTGTTAAGTGGACTGAAGAAAATGTAACGATTTTGGTGTGATTTCTTTTCCTGCTGACATCATATTTCACAAGAAGAGAATTTCCACAGGTTTCCAATATGACATCTGCCTACTTCTCAGAATCTGTACCTCTCCCCTCCCCTTACCTTTTTTCACAGTGCATGACATGTCATGCTCCTGTCTAAGGCTAGTCCCTCTATTTGTGCATGGAATCTTATCCCCTTTCTCCTACTCAAGGTTATCCCAATTTCTCTCCCACCACCATCCCCGCTTTTTCTAGCTCTTTCCAGGTACCCTAAAAATACACCATTATGGCCTCCATCTATAAACTATCCTCCCTCGATCCCACATCCCCACTTCAGAAAATCTCATCATTCCCTGGCCTATACACAGTGTCTCCAGCTTCTCTTCTCCCATTCCCTCTTGAACCATTTTGTCCCTCACTCAAGCAATGTTGCACTTGCCAATGTCATTACTTACCTCTGTATTTCAGTCATCAATTCTTTGTCCTCACCTTACTTGAATTATTATGATAGAATTGATCACTGCCTCCTCCTTGGAAAACTTGATTCCTTTGGCTTCTAGGAAGCCACTCTTTCTTTGTTCCTCTGTCTTACTGGTATCTTCCTCTCAGTAAACTTGGATAAATCCTCCTCACCATTCCATCTTCTAAGCTTTGGAGTCTCCTCTTGGAAGCGGGGGGGTCAGTCCTCTCAGTATGTGTACTCTCTAGTGATCTCAACCAACCCATATGACTTCATATACCATTTATTTCCTAATACTAATTCATACCTCTGGCCTGGACTTTTCTTTTGAACTCCAAACTCACATGTGTAACTCCTCAAATCTAATATTGCCAAACTATATTCTTGCTTTTCTCTCCAAACATACTCTTTCCCTAGTTTTTCTTTTCTCAGAAAATGGAAAAGTAGTCCCCTAGCACTCAGGTCAAAAGTCTTGGTATCCTCTTTGACCTCTATTTCGCCCATTATACCCTTACCTGTTGGCATGGATAGAAGGCTCTACCTTTAAAATATAATTAGGACTATTATAATAGCTTCCTAATCTCCTAATTAATTTATCTGCCCCTTCCCTTTCCGTTTCCACTCTGCCTTTCCAATCAGTTTCCCACACAGCAGACTGACCGATCATTCTAAAACTCACTTTAGATCATGTCACTCCTTGGCAGAAAACACGTCAATGACTTCCCATTCTACTCAGAATAGAATCTAGAGGTCTAGCAGGGACATACTTGGCCCTGTGTGATCTGCCTCCCTGCTCTGCTCCGATACCTCTTAGATCTCATATCCTACCCCTCTTCCCATCGTTGAGCTCCAGCCCAAGCAACCTACTTCCTACTCCATGAACACTCAAGCATATGTCCCCCTAAGCCTTTTGCCCAGGATTGGAACAATGTGCTCCCAGATGTCTGCATGAGTCACTCCTGCACAGCATTCAGGGTCCTGCACAAATGTCATCTTAGAAAGAAAGCCCTTGATGGCCCAACAAAAATGGCATCCTCTTTCTCTGTCACTATCTATTTATCCTTCTTCATTTTTTCCTCAGCACTTGTCACTCCCTGACATCTATTTACTGACTATCTTCACTTCCACTTCTAGAATGTAAGCCCCATGAGAAAAGAGAATTTGTATAGTTTCTTTATTGCTTTAGCCCCAGTGCCGGCACAGGGCACTCAAAAATAGTGGTTGAATAAATGAATTCAATGAATGAAAAGTATACCACTCTCCTTTGATGTTATGGTATAGAGGAAAGCATGCCAAGCTGAGAAGTCCTAACAAGAGCAGTGACCTTGGCAAGTTATGTAAGCTCTGTGGGTTTTGCCTCCTTAGTTGTAAAATGAGGTGTTTGGATTAAATGATTTTAAAAATCACCTCGGCTCTAAGCCATGATTGAATGATTCAGGTTTGATTACTTTTCACTTTTCACTCTCTCTGACACTTCAGGTTTTGAAATACAACATCCTCAGTCTATATACTCCCTTCTTAATGAATAGTGAAACGAGAGAAATTAAACAAGATTATAGACAAATTCATTTCAGCAATATCAACATATGACACGATCATTATGCAATATTTCAATGCCCATACTGAAAACAGAGCTTCCTCCTAAAGACGACATGACAGTTATTTTTTAATCCACCTGGCATTTCAATTAAGGAGGAGATAACTAATGTGTTTACCCAGGAATACTTTCTTGGCTCATCATGTTATAAGGACATGGGACTGCATCACAGCAGAAAATAGCTTATTGCCAATTTGAGTGGGAAGGTTTGCTATGGGAAAATGCTCACATAAGTGACCAAAGTGAACATCACCTAAAAGAGATTAATGTTATTTATTTATGCATATAGACATCATCTACTTCCAAACAATTTATAATAAAAGGCATTAACACTCTTGTGCTGGATATCTTCTCCCTGAGTCGTATCACTCTCCATTCTGCTCCGTAATAGTTTTCACAAATGGCTTCCTTGACCTCTGGCTTTTGGTTTGGTTCAGCCAAAGTGGAACATGGGAGATCAAGGTGAGGGAGAGGTGTGGGGTTTGGAGAGTTGTTTCTCCAGCTCCTTGTCCTGCAGGATTGTGCTGATCAGTTGTGTCCTTCACCAGAGGTCTCAGCTCCTGTCGGCGGTCCTCCTCGCCCAGCACTGCATGAGTCCTTGTGGTTGCCCTGCATTCCCACCCTCCTTTGTCAGTTGTCCACTTATTACATTCTTCTTAACTTATCCTAATTTTCAGTGTGCCATCTGTTTCCTATTAGGAATCATTAAAAGAGAAAGTCAGTAAAAGAACAAAAGATGAGAAATTAAGGGAATGGGAATATCATTATGTCAGCAAACCAAGACTAAAGAAGGGTGTTGTAATTGAACATGGTTAAAGTTAGAGGGAAACATTTAGCTCTTATTTGCTGATAGTAGAGAACATACCAGCAGATCAGGAGCTGGTAGCACTGGGAGGAGGAGTACAACCCACTCAATGGATAGCATTTTCAGTAGAAATTTTACAAGAGCCTAAGTCAATCCTCTTATGAGATTGCACCAGCCTTTATAAGACCTGTGGCATAAAATTAAATCATAATTCTTTGAAACTTTTCTATAGAAAATGAAACTGCTGCCACATGCAAGGTGATAAAAAAAAATAAAAATGTTACATAGAAATATATATAGGATTCTTGTCATTTGACCTGATACAGGAATAGAATTTGGAAACTTCAGGAATGAACAATAGTTATGCCCCGTACGTGCTCCTCCCAAATATTAATTTCCTTGGCCAGACTTTATAAAAACTGGCCATAATATACTTACGCATAATATACACAATATGCTTTTGTAGTTATTACTATTATTATTTTTAACTTTTATTTAAAGTTTAGGGGTACAAGCACAGGTTTGTTACATAGGTAAACTTGTGTCATGGGGGTTTGTTGTACAGATTATTGCATCACCCAAGTATTAAGCCTAGTACCCATTAGTTATTTTCCTCATCCTTTCTCTCCTCCCACCCTCCACCTTCAGAAAGGATCCATTGTGTAATTATAAAGTATTTTATGTCCATCGTAGATAATTTGGAAAATGCAAACAAGCATACAAAATACAATAAAAATCACTCGAAATCCTAAACCACTGCCAAAAGAAAATTAATGATGTCTTTACACTCTTTTTTCTACATATCCAAGAACTTTAACTTAACTAGAATCACACAATATAGGTTATTTTTAACCAGATTTTTTTCTCATTGATCAACATTTTGCATATTTTCCCCTTTTTCTCCTGCTGCATAATTTTTAGTGGTTGCATAGTGTTGCATCAGAATAGTGTATTTGCAAATCTTGCAATTTGGGATCGTTGTATTGTTTCCAATTTTTCACCCTTTTAAGGTTGTGATGAACATACCTGCATATAAATCTTTGCATAGATTCCTGCCTGTTAATTCTTAAAAGTTTATTTCTTAATTCTTAAGATTTTTGCTAGTTATTTTCTTATTTTTATTTTTTAACATTTATTCTTCAGAAAAGGTATGACAATTTACCCTCCTAGCGGAGGTAGATGAGCTTGTTTATCACCTTGGAGATTGGTTGCTAAAATGTTCAAGTTTAGGGCACTGATAAGTAGCTGAAATGCAAACAGTTTTAATTGCAGTCTGAAAGGAGATCTATTAAGTTCAAATAACCAGACAGGATGGTTGCCAAATTGACTTTCTATTTTGAAACCCAAGGATTAACTCTGATTTCTTACTCATGTAGAGAGTTTTTCTATCTTTGCATAATAAATGCCCTGGAAGGTAAATCTTTTGAAGCCTTTTTTTTTTGTTTTTGTTTTTTTGTTTTTTAGACAGAGTCTCGCTCTGTTGCCCAGGCTGGAGTGCAATGGCGTAATCTCGGCCCACTGCAATCTCTGTCTCCCAGGTTCAAGTGATTCTCCTGCCTCAGCCTCCCGAGTAGCTAGGATTACAGGTGCACGCCACCACGCCCAGCTAATTTTTGTATTTTTAGTAGAGATGGGGTTTCACCATGTTGGCCAGGATGGTCTCTATCTCTTGACCTCGTGCTCCACCCGCCTCAGTGGGATTACAGGCGTGAGGCACTGCACCCAACCTGAAGCCAATTTTTTATTCAGAAACTTAAGCCAGTCCTAGGTTGAAGCACACAGAAGCATACCATCAAACTACAGAAGAGATAATGTTGGCTGAAAGGTTTTGAGAGTAGGAATAACTAAGCATAGAATACCTTTAATCTGGCTTCCATGAGCAATTTGACCTAGAGACATACCAGGTCCCCATTCTCTGTTGGGATTAAATGCACCTCCATACCCCTGCATGAACTGGCTAAATGAACTGGCTCACTGTTTGAAAAGTTGCCTATCCAGATGTTTTTGGATTCATATGAACTGATATAAGAAAAGTATTTTGGGCAATGCTATCTTTCTATGTTCTTTCTCATTGGGTCAGTTTAGCAAATGTATACCTTGCATCTCTCATCTGAAAGGTGCAATACTAGATAGAAATAAATATGATAGTACAAGGCATGCTCCTTACCATTCAGAAGTTCACACAAAGTTGTAAAAATGTATGTGGCAAAATATAGATGATTGTAAAATTGATCACATAGAAAGAGGGGTCATGCTTCAATTGGTGGTGATTTTAGGGGGTGCAGGGACCATCATTGATCTAAATGAAGTACATGGGAAAAATTATAGTAAAAAAAAGCATACTTTTCTATTAAGACGTCCTGTTATGTTTTTACATATAACAATGCTATGTTATATGTAACATATATATATATAACATATACAATGCTATGTTATATGTAAAACATACTTTTTGTGTGGAGTTGCATATTCCAGGCCAAAAGTAGAAAGGGGATCTTTTTAAATAATTGATGCGTAGTGATTGTACAAATTTCTGGGATACCTGGGATATTTGATACATGCATAAAACATGTAATAATCAAGTCAGGGTAATTGGGATATTCATTACCTCAAACATGTATCATTTCTTTGTGTTGGGAACATTCCGAATATTCTTTTCTAGATATTTTGAAATATACAATGTATTGTGATTAACTATAGTCATCCTACCCGTGCTATTGAACACTAGAATTTATTCCTTCTATTTAACTGTAGTTTAATATGCATGAAACAACTTCTCTTCATCCCCTGCCCCTTACCCTTCCCAGCCTCTAATAACCACCATTCTAGTATCTACCTTAAAAAAGAATATCTTTAAGATGCAAGGAACTATCTAATTAGAATCTAGAAAATGGAATAAAAATGTGCTTCATCTTAATGGCTTATGGGGACTGGAACTGGATGCTTTGAACTTCGTATCTTTTATGAGTCTGGTTAAGTGTTATGACTTCCTTCTGACTGAGTCACAGGTCAGAGATAATGACCTGACAACAATGTACAGAAGTCTATGTGTTCAAAGATTCAACATCACACAGCGTGAAATAAGAGACCAACTGTTTGCTGCTCTAATCCTTTTGTCCTAACTCTCTGCTTCCTATGTATAAAAAAGAAGTTCTTATTTCATGTTGAATTTAATGGTTGTATAATATTGGTTCAAGTTTTTTTTAAAGTTAAACTTTGAGATACTCTAATATTATAAATGTTCTGTTTACAAGTATAGTTTTTAATAGGAAACAAATCTGAAAGATTACAAAAGTAAAGTAGGATATAAAAATGATCTTAGACTGAAAAGTAGCACGACATTATTTTGGCTCCAAAATCTACATGGTGAATAGTTTCTACAGTTTTTATTTCTACAGTATTTATTACACTTTTACTGGCTTAACTTTATTAAAATGAACAAAATGTGGGATTGTGAAAATAAACATCTTACATTCAAAACAAATCAGAAGTATAACAATGAGGAGATAGGGGATAATGAGTGCTTGTTTTGTTTTTCTGTAAACTTCATGTGGAAGTAAAGAGACAAGCTATAAATTCAACTCTTATCATATGCTGACTTTCTGATTCTTCTATCATTGGAATATAGTAAGAATTCTTCAACAATCGGTATATTTAAAATCTCTGTCTCAACAAATGTCCCAAAGGACTAGTTAAATACCCTTAGTCTTTACTTCAGTTTGAGGCTTGCAAAGCTAATAATTCTTGACACATACATTGTAGGATGAATTAATTGATGAAAAGTGAATGGAACTGTCCTTAGGAAGTACTTAGTTCGGGCTTTACCATCCTGAAAAGAAAACTGCTCTTCTGGTTCCCATGCACAACTTTGTTATTCTTGGACCGGAGACCAGAAGAAGCTTCCAGTCACCTAAGAGTGAACAATTATACCCTCTTATGTGTTAGACATGATACAATGTACTAAAGATACAAAGATAAATAATGCAGATTAATATGGGAAATGCTATGCTAAGAATACACAAATAATGCCTTAGAAGGTACAGCTAGCTATGTCTGGAGGAGAGGAGAGGGAGAAAGGCTGAGAAGGCAATGCTAAAACTGAGTCTTTAAAGGATGCATAGGAAGGATTTACCAAGCAATAAGGCAGGGCAGAACATTCCAGGCATGTAGTAAATGCCCAAATGTATTGGTAAAGATCCAGGGGCAGAACCTCATGAAAAAAGTAAAGGAATGCAGGTAGTCAAAGAAAGGAGGGTCATAAACTATAAGCTATTGGAGTGCCGTGGATGGAGCTACTGTTTTTCTAGAGGGCTCAGGAGAAGATTCAAGTAGGAGGTGGCATTTGTTCTGATCTTAAAGATATAGTGAGTTTGACAGGTGGAAGAGGGAAATTAAGTCATTCTAGTAGAGAAAGCTGTGCAGAAAAGCAAATAAGCATGAGAGTGCATAACCACATTCTCTTTCCTGTTTACATCCTCATACTGGAGACCTCATCCAGTCCTCTGGTGTCAAATACTGTTTATGTGGCTATCTCCTTAATTTAGGTCTCCAGCACTGAGTTCTCCCCTAAGCCACCCATCTGTGCCTGCAGATGTTCGTCTGGCCCCTCCACTTAGAGGTCTTATGGGCTTGTCAAGTGTTATATGTTCAAAACTGAGTTCTCATTTTTGTTCCTTTTCCAAGCCTATTATTCTCCCAATCTTCTATCTCAGTTACTAGTATCACCATTCAACCAGCTGTTCAAGCAAAAAACCTAGGAATTGTCCTTGATTAGTCTTTCCTCCAATCTTCACATGGAATCTCTCAATGAGCCCTCCTGGAATCTCTCAATGAGCCCTCCGATTCTCCTCAAAAGCACATCTCAGATCTGAACACTTGAATCCATCTCCTGAGTCCAGGGACCAGCGCTGCCTTTTCCTTCTATCTGGTCTCCCTGTTTCTCCTTAGCTTCTCTACTACCCATGCTTCACTTCATATCCAGAGCTTTCTTTTTAAAATATTAGTCAGATCATGCTACCATTTGCTTTAGTCTCTTCAATGGCTTTTCCTTGTTTCTAGAATTATATCCTGGCCAAATCATCTAACCCCCATGCAGCTCTCCAATCTTGCTTCTAATCTTAACCTATGCCACCTGCTCCAGCTCCCTGGCCTCTTCCCAGCTCTCAACATATGTGAGGTCTTCCCCATCCAATGCTGTTGCACCCTCTTCCCAATGTACTGCCCTTCATCTCTTCCCATGGGTGTTTCACTCTCATCTACCAGGTTTTCAAACAAATGTCATGTCATCCAAATGTCCTATTTAAGACATTTAAAAGATACCTTCTACTAATTCTACTCAAATTTTTCTAAACCATCACTCTACTTATCCCTTTCTTAGAGGTTAATACAACATGTAATATTCCATTCATTCATTCATTTACTATCTGTCTCCCTTTCTAGAAAGTCTCAGTTCCACAAGGCAGAGGCTTCATTTCTTTTTAAGTACCAGTATCATGTGCTCAACAAATACTTGTTGAACAAATGAATGTCTAAGTCCCAAAGTCAATAAGGGTTTAATACTATAGGTAAGGGTTAATAGAATCAAATACACAGAGACATTAAGTAAAATCATGATGGAAAAGGATATTTGATCTGATCCTTTGGAACTCACTAGTGAGAGCAGTGACTTTGGAGTGGAGCACAGAGGTAGGAATACCATGGGTGAGGAGTGAAATAGAAGATGTGCACATGGGAGAAAGCAAGTATGCTAAGATGCCTGCCCAAAGAGGAACAATGAAATGTATGATGCTACAATCTTGAGGTTCTAAAGAATTTATGAATTATTGTAATGGGATAAAATTATGTTTAATTCCATGTGAGAAGGAAGCAGCAAAGAGCGAGAAGCTGAAGGTACAGAGGAGAGGAGGAGATAGATGAAGAGGGGGGCTATGAAGAAGGTGGAATTGGGAATGGGATCTGCAGCCCAGGTGAGGCATTAGTCTTGAACAGAAGGAAGAATACCTCTTCTTCTGATGGGCTGAACATTAAGAAAGGTATCTTGTAGAGCTTCTATTTGCTCTGATGAAAGTGAGGAAATAGCAGCAGGTATGGAACTGAACATAGTGAACAGGTTTTAGCATATCACTATGAGAAATTGAGAGGCATTGTCCAGGAATTCATAAATGGAATGCTTATTGTCATTGAAGATTCAATTGAAACCATAAATTTAGTACTAGTTCCTACAATTATGTCATCAATCAAATGGTTATTAAGTACATGCTATGTTTTAGACACTTTAGCTGAATATATCACAATTCTTGCAGCCTAGTGGGAGAGAAGAAAAGTATATTAATTAGCAAAGCTTTGTGATGAGAGATGCACTAGGGAAATAGCATTATATAACTGGAGACCAGAGGATGATGGGAAATGGGAGGGTAGGTTCTGGTCACAGAGTCTATTGCTATTATTCAGGATTTCCCAGTTGGAACTGTTTTCAATGATAATAGAATTCTGGAGGAAGAGAAAGTTTCCTAGAATGGTGGAAGTCATCGAATTATGAGAAAAACAGTTTGGAAGGCATTCAGACAGATGCTGAAGTTGTCTAGGAAGGTTGGAAGGGCATTCAGACAGGCCGAAGTTGCCTGTGTTTGAGAAGACTGACTAAAGTATCTGAATTCTTGATGAAAATTTGGGAGTGACTTGGAAATTTACACATGCCAATGAAAACAACAGGTAGAGGGTGATATATCCATGTGGTGTTAACACCAAAGGGAGAAAGAATTCTACATATCACAATGGCCTGAAATAGGCAGTTAACAATGAGGAAAATGCCCAAGCTATTCCCCAGCCAAATGGCACATAGGGTATCAGAATATGAGTATCCTTCACTCCAGAGAATTTCAGCGAAAACAAGGAAATAGTTTTCTGAAGGTTGAAGATGTAGGGAGTTTTACATATGATGACACAGGGGTTCCAGAGGGCTCAGTAGAAAGCACTGAAAAGGATTAGATCGAGAGAGAGAGCGAGCGAGAGGGGAAGAGAGAGAGAGAGCACACTTATACTATAGCAATGCCTGAAGGTACCAGAGAGTCAAAGATGGAAATAATTAGTCTTGAGATTGCAGGAAGTTCCAGGTATAACATACGTCTAGGGCCTGCACAGGACAGTGTATCAAGTGATCAAGTGGTGTCAGAAATCTGAGGATGCCAGCAACCCGGGGTTACTCTGCTTATCATCAAGGGATTGTCTGCAAAAGAGCCACCGACTTTCTCCAAGGCCAATGCTGGGAGTAAGGAAATATTATTGGTCTGTTTTAACCCAGAGAAAAATGCTCTTTGATTTCATATATGTTCTTTTAAAAAATTTGTTTTGAAGTAGCTTAATTTTTTTCTGATTATAAAAGAAATATGATTCATTGCAAAAATAAGGTGATGCAGAAAAGAGTAAGATAAAGCTTGTTTATAATTCCCAGATGGAGATGACATAATCATTGCTAACATTTCCGTGTCTGTCATTAATAGAATTCCCTGGCATTTATCAGTTAGGACTCTAGAACACTCCTTGTCAATCAATGTTTCCTCTCTCTCCTGCACCCACCCTCTCTGTCACGCTCCATCTTGGGTGCTGCTGCCTTTCTAGCTTTATCTCTGTTCTCTCTAAATCCAGAGCTCTGTCATATCTGGAGTGGATATCACTGCACATTGGGCTTATTTAGTTATTCATTAAACATTGAACAGATGTTGCTCTTGTGGCTGCAGAGTTGCTTTGTTTGTGGCGATGGTGCTTGGGATGCTTCTTTTGATTCTCCCAGAAATCAGAGACCATGTTGGCAAGTCAGGAAACCACTTAGATTTTCCTATTCACCTCTGTCTCAGAAGAGGAAATGCCACCTTGGGGGTAGGGCTAGCCCAGCTTCTAGAATAGACCCCCTGCTGCCAGTCACTCACTATGTACCATTGAGGTACTCCCCTTCAAGAGCCAGTCTCTTGACCTAGGCACAACATGGCAGGCCAGAGTGGTGGAAAGGGCCTCTGTCAAATAAACATTCATTGTCTCATCCCACTGGGAAATCCTGAATAAGGGTTTCAGCTCCCTGAAAACAGCTCATACCTACTTCTGGTTTTCTCATTTTGCTTACATTTCTGGAAAAGGGAAGTAAAACAGGCCTACTATTAATGTTGCTTTCACCTTTTTGCACTTGATAAGCCTGACCTTTATTTTACCACATAAGTCAGAAGTACTATATACCACAACCCTGCTAATTTGCTCTTTTCCTCCTTCCTCCCACCTATCTCCTGCCACTTCCCCAGAAGCATAAAGCTTTCAACATCCTGCTGTCCATTAGCATAAATAAACTAATGCTTTTAAAATAAAAATAGTTTGAATGCTATATTTGTTAAAGACTGCATTACCATAAAAAGATAAAAATATTCTTGAGTAACAGCTAGATCATATACTTTAGAGACAATAACATACTTTTATTGTGGTTCTCTGGAAAGTTGATTATTTTAACCATAGATTAAACCTTAGGTCTCAGCACAAGTTATATTTCCATTCATTGCAGAAATTGTTAAACCTTGCAGTTTCTCAGGGCATCTACCTTCATGTTTTAATTTATTTTTCTGTTGCCAATATATTATAAGCATATCTATGAAACAAAAAAGATGAAGTGCCCTTTAAATTCAATTTTGTAATATGAACCAGTGGATATGGTTATGGCTTTTCCCCTCATTTTTACATATCTGTTGTTAATTTAAATTTTATGTAACATTTATACAATAGATTAAAAAATACTGGGCTATGAAAAAACAGAAGTGGCAAGAAATGGAAATGAGAGATCTTCAGCGTCTAGAAGAACTGAAGAAATTAATGGCTGAACAGTCACTAAAAGACAGAGAAAGGTAAAAGAAAATTTAAAATTGTGTGGAAATGGAGGTGGTGAATGGAGTCTTTTGTAATGAGTTAGAATAAATAATATCAGAGGGAGCATTTTTCTATACTTAATGTATCCTTTCAATATTTATATTCACAAATGAATACAATGATATCTATAATGCATTTTAAATTCTCATATTCATACATTAACCTCCGGTTTTTCATTTTGTTCCTTAGATAGCTTCCTAGTTAAAACCCTCACAGAGGATTTGATAGTATTTGATTACCCACTGTGTGCATAAAATGATACTGGCTGCTGCTGTAACTATCTCTTGATCCAGAAGGAGAAAACCGTTATTCAAATAAGAAGGAAAACCCATTTACTGTGACAGAGGCTGGGGAAGACAGTACACAATTATACAGTGCTGTGTGGTGTTTATTATAACATACTTAGGGCATGCCCAATACCTGAAAAAAATCTGGAATTTCCTAGAAATATGTAATTTTAGACCTGGAAAGGACATTTGAGATCAAGTAGCCTAGTCTCCTCAGTTTACATGTGAGTACAATAAGAGATTTAAGTTATTTTTTGCAAAGTTACTGTATCAGTTAGGGTCGATTAGGAGACAAAAAACATATAGTAATTTGAACAGGGAAAGTTTAAGAGAAAGAATCCTTTCTATATAAAGAGATAAATAGCATGCTAAAGAATACCCTTGGACTTAAGGAGGGTTCCCATGGAAGAACCAAGTTTGGAACTGAGGAGCCCTCTCCATGGTTGGGATTCACACCTTACTGTAGAAGCTATGGTCATGACCCCTCTGAACGGTGAAGTTCTCGGGTGGATTAAGACAGAGCTAGCTCAATAGTCACTAGGCAAACAGGGAACACCCAACTTGGGTGCAGGCAGGCCAAAGCTGGAAGCCAATTATTGAGATGCTTGCAAGGCTCAATGGAAATCTGACCATAGAAGTACCTTTGAAATTTGATGGGACTGACCATCAGTGCGCCATTGGAACTCCATGGACACAGCAACACTTGTGTCCCCTACACATGCTGCTGGCAGCTGTACAGTATGAACAAGAAGGCATAAACACACGAACCAGGAAGGAAATCCCCTTCCTCTGCAGTGTCCTTCAAGCACCCTCTTCTGACACAGCTTAATATTTTGCCAGTGGCAAGGGACAGATAGAGGGTCCACCTCCATTTTCAGAGAGCAGACAATGAAGGGTGGAGCTGTGAGGCATTACACTGATAACTGGCATAGTTATCTAATTTAGCTAGCTCCTTAGTGATTTTCACAAAAGATAAAGAAGAGAGAGCTCTCATTTCATATCATAAATCACAGTAAATTTCCTTTAAATAGTGATCTTCCCTGATATATTTACCTTAGTCACTCTAAAAAGATTTCCTGGAACTCTATACTTTCTGCTTAATTTCACTCGGAACCTAAAATTGCTATAACAAATAAAACCTATCTTGAAAATTGCCCCTCAGACTTACATATAACTTTGGAAGGCATAACCATTGGATACAATGAGGTTCACTTGTATCTAGGAAGCTTCCTTTGTGACCCATGTGACTGTTATCTCAAACTCTAATCACTGAGGTTGTAGATTGAATCTGGAGTTTCAAATAGATGCTAAGCATTCCTAAGGATTTTCTGTACAAAATGCACATTATTTCCCAGGTAGCTCAGGATTTTAGAGTTTAGTATAATCTATTACTGAGAGAACTGAGAATATAGCAAAGCCAGGGCTAATGGTTAGAAGGTGAAGCCATCAATGAGAACCCAGATTAACAAACACGAACCAAGACCTAAGTGGATAGAGGCCATGGGTCAGAAACAAGGAGGTGGATAAGAATTCCCAAACAGCTAAATACTAAAGGGCAAGGCAAAGGCAGATTGATCAGTCTAAAGCTATCCTAGCAAAATGAAAGAGAGCCACAGAAATTATAAGGAATGGGGAAAACAGAACAGATATGTAGTTCCAGCATTAGGAGACAGGCTTCCACTAAAATTACCCCTCATAGTCAGGGAGCTTCTTTGATTACAGAGTCATTTCAGTTTTTGCTTCCTGTCCCAATAATTATCAAGATTAGCTGATTCAGAACTTCAGTTGAAAAAGAAGAACAGGAAAATCAGATTAATCTGCATTACGTAACACAAAAAAATAGGCATATTATAAGATACTAAAAAGAGTACTAAAGACTAGGAGCCCGGAGACCAAGGTTTTAGTCTTGACTCTTTGAATTTTATATGACCTTGGGAAAGTCTGTCATTTCACCTCCACAGGCTCTGTTTTGTCCTCTGTAAAACTGAACTGGATAACTTCTGAGGACAGAGTTAATCAACTTTTAAGGGCCTATGATCTGTTTGTTCAACTCTTATGTTAAAATACTGTAGATTCAGATAATTATGAGTCCAGTGCTTATTTGCCAATGGAAAATCAGTGAAAAAGGCCTTTAAAATATCAGTATATATAAGAGATATAATTCTCAGGAAACTTTTTATAATATTATAGAAGTATATTCCTCATTTTGTGACTTAGGGAGATAGAGTTCAACATACAAAATTACTGATAGGTTTTGCTTTTGATAGTAACCAGAAGTTGTCTTCTTTCATAACTACATAGCACTAAGAAATTTGGTTGATTGGTTAAAACATTTTTCTGTACTACTGAAATGCAATTCATAAACCTTGTGTTTGATATTTTAACTACGGACACTTTTTTTCCATATCAGAATAAGCTGGCTTGAAGCAGTTTCCAGATCTGTGTTCAGAACACACACACATATCCTTGAGGGTTTGAAAACTTATGTCATTTATTTCCCTTTTCTATTTTTAAATTCTAAGATTATATTTCTTGAAAACAATATTCAGTGGGGCACAGTGGCTCACGCCTGTAATCCCAGCACTTTGGGAGGCCGAGGCAGGCGGATCATGAGGTCAGGAGATCGAGACCATCCTGGCTAACATGGTGAAACCCTGTCTCTGCTAAAAAAAAAAAATACAAAAAAATTAGCCGGGCATGGTGGCGGGCACCTGTAGTCCCGGCTACTCGGGAAGCTGAGGCAGGAGAATGGCGGGAACCCGGGAGGCGGAGCTTGCAGTGAGCCAAGATCGCACTCCAGCCTGGGCGACAGAGCAAGACTCCATCTCAAAAAAATAAATAAATAAAATTATATATTAGGTTGAACCACATAAAATTCCGTTTTTGTAGGTCAAAATGGTTGAGTATTGGCAATTTCATGTGGTGCAACATTAAAAAAAGACATATAATTGTTTTAGTAATTACATTTACCTTCTCAATCTATTAGAATGTGTCTTTTGCCCTCTTCATTTTATCGAAATTGTTTTTGCCCAAGTTTCCATTAACCTCCTAATACCCTATTTTTATTTCTCAACATGCCATTGAGATTAAGAGGGAAGGCTCTAGAATTGGTTGACATTAGAATACTGGCTCTATCCTTTATAGCTGTGTGAACTTTGGATGAGTTATTTAACTTCTCTGTGCTTCAGTTTCCTCATCTGTACATTGAGGATATAAACAGTATCTACTTCTTAAGATTGTTGCAAGGATCAAATGATACATTGAATGTAACATATTCACTGCCTGGAACACAGTAAGTATTCATTAAATATAAGTGATTCCTATCAATTGACTTTTACATCATGAAATACTAACGTATTTTTTCTCAAAATATTAAAGCAAGAAGGCCACACTTCAAGCCAGAAAGAGAGCCCTCACCAGAACCTGACCATGCTGGCACCTAGATCTTAGGCTTCTAGCCTCCAGAATAGTGAACAAATAAATTTCTGTTGTTCAAGTCACTCAGTCTAGGGTATTTTGTCATGATGGCCCAAGCTAACTAATACAATGTTATTATATTATTAAATGTATTGTGCTTTTTTAGCCAGGCCTGGTGGCAGTGGTACCTGTAATTCCAGCTACTCAGGAGGCGGAGGCTGAGGCAGGAGAATTGCTTGAACCCGGGAGGCTGGGGTTGCAGTGAGCCGAGATCATGCCATTGCACTCCAGCCTGGATGACAGAGCGAGACTCCATCTCAAAAAAAAAAAAAGTATTGTGGTTTTTGTTGCTGTTCTTAAAGATTTTATGTAGTACATATATAGGTACATTTTAAATGAATATTTTAAAAATATTCTAAGTAAAATGTAAAAATGAGGACATTATTATAAAAATTAAAGTTAAAGCAAAAGTGCCCTTAACCACTACCCTCATGTAGTCTCTTCTCTAAAAGTCATTGCTTTTATTGTTTTTAAATGCATACACATACATGCTATCTATTTTGTATGTACCTATATAAAATCAAGTTTAAGAACAGCAACAAAAATCACAATACATTTAACAATATAATACCACTGTATTAGTTAGCCTGGGCTGTCATGACAACATATCATAGACTGGGTGACTTGAACAACAGAAATTTATTTTCTCACTATTCTGGAGGCTAGAAACCCAAGATCAACGTGCCAGCATGGTCAGGTTCTGGTGAGGGGTCTCTCCTGGCTTGCAGAGTGGGGCCATCTTGCTGTGACTTCACATGGTGAAGAGAGAATCAGCAAGTACTTGAGTGTCTCTTCTTATAAGGGCATGACTCCCACTGTGAGGGCTACATCTCCAAATACTGTCACATTGGGGGTTAGGCCCTCAACATATGAATTTTGAGCAGACACATTCAGTCTATAGCAACCATTTGTGTAAAAAAAGCATTTATGTATGTACAAATCGACTATTTACTACTAACTTATTTATAGGTTGCTGCTGGCATATAAGTCCTTTGTGCTAGTTAGGAAAAGGTGCCTCCTTCTGGTGACAGAGTGCATATTGCTCCTACTACAAGTGGACAAATTAGGAAAAGATTCCCTTCTGAATCACAGCATACAGCTTGACAAGCAGAGGCAAAGCTGGATGTCATACTTCATTTGGATCTCTGGTCATGGATCAGTTTTGTAAAGCACAAACTTCAAAATGATACATGGTATCTCTGCAAATAAACCTA